ATTATCTTACCTGTAGATAACTCCTTTTGTCAGAAGAAACACAAAACAGTAAAAACAAAAACCTTTTCCTCTAGCCTGTTTTAGCTGTTGCCAAGGTAGCACAGAGCTTTACAAAGCATTTCTATTCTCCCAAAAGATAAACAGCAAAAAAACAGCATTAAGCCAAGGTCCAATATATTTAGCACCACAACAGACTCTTACTCATTTCAAATATGGACCCGAGCCTCCTTTATTCTACTTTTCAAACACTTAAAAATCAGAAACTTTAACCATGAGCAACTTCTCTTTTTGAGCTCTTAAAACCTGAGCTGTTTTAGCAGACTAGTTCCTAGGAGGAATTCCTTTCCTGTTTTCCTTTTCTGTAATTCCATATTTCATTTTACACCTATAATGCTCTATTTTATAGTCTCTATAATGCTTCATTAAGCCCAAAGATTTGCTACTTTCACAGTGGAGTTATGCCCCCCACCCTCCGATTGAGCACTAACATCAAGGGGCAAATTTGCCTCCACAGTGTCTGGGGGTGCTTCAGAAATTCCAGGGTATCTTGGCTGCAGAAGACCACACCTCTCAGAGGTGCTGCATCATATACCAACCCCATGCAGACATCCTAGGTACCCTGCACTTTCCAAAATGTCCATATTCAAGCACCTGAATTGACTCCCAAACACCTGGCTGCTTCTCTCCCTCAGAATCACTGAATTTTTTTATCTCCTCTATACGCTCTGAATACACACCCTTAGGATTTCTATTGAAAAGTGACAAAACTCCCCAGTGCTATGCCAGACCAAGTTTTCAATGAATGTAAATTTCTATTTTAATTTCCTGTGCATCCCTCCTGCTCCACTTGACAACATCTCTGCTTAAGTCTTCCAGATGTCTCTCTCTCTCCCTGGGCTTTTTTTTTTTCTTCTTTTTCAGCCACTTAAAGAGATAATCAAAGCAACATAAAAGGTAGAAAGATAAGTGGAACAGTACATACATGTTGAAGAGTGACTCCAACAGCCCAGTGCATCACACAGCAGCCTAGATGCAGAAGAGTAACTCGGCCCGTTTCAGTCACCAGTGTTGGTCTCTCAACTCCTGACTGAGCAGACTCTGCTCTCCTGGCACACAGGATACCTTCTGCTTCCCCCTGAAAACCCTGGATAATACAAAACAACTTTTCTCCAGTTCCTTCTGTGATTTGGAAGAGACAACTTTGTGTCACTTTTTTTTTTTTAAATAATTACTTCAATAAAAACCAGTTTCCACTGTGCTTTCAACAAAATATCCATAGCTTTCTAAGGAAACTCAGAGAGCGAGGGCACCTTAGCGAGCTAGGAAACTCCAGTGAGCTAGGGCACTCACAGATGAAATTCAGCCTGTGTGTCAGTTATTAGCAGATGAAGCACAAAATAAGGAATTCAGGATAATCCAGGTTGGAAGGGACCTCCAATGGTCTCTAGTCCAACCTCTTGTTCAAAGCTGAGTCAGCTGTGAAGTCACACCATGTCACTCTGGGTTTTATCCAGCTGGGTCTAAAACTCCTGAGGTTGTTGATGTTGAATTAAATGATTTAGTACCTGGAGAAACTTGAAGGTCTTGTTGGTTTGGTCCCAGAACAGCCTCTAATGTTAAAAATAATTATTTCTCAGTTCAGATTAACCATAACTCATTCCCCATCTCTCTGTGCTGCTGCAGGGGGAGGAGGTAAAGAAATGGGGAGTGAAGTTGAGCCCACAAAGAAGGGAGAGGTGGGGAGAAGGTGTTTTAAAATTTATTTTTTATTTCTCATTGCTCCACTCTGATTTGCTTGGTAATAAATTAAACTAATATCCCCCAGTTGAGTCTGTTTTGCCTGTGTTGTTAATTGCTGAGTGATCTCCCTGCCCTTATCCCCACCCAGGAGCCTTTCATTACATTTTCTCTCCCCCTGCCCAGCTGAGGAGGGCAGTGACAGAGTGGTTTGGTGGGCACCTGGCCTCCAGCCACGGTCAACCCAGCACATTCACTAAGGAGTCATTCCTTATTTTGGAGAGATAGAGGAAATATCTGAAACATTGCCAAAATGTTCTGCTTTTACTGACCCCATGAATTTAATTTTTAATTTCCAATCTTTAATGAATCTGTAATGAGTTTTGCACATTTGAGGTTGTAGATCAGTGTACACTTTTTGTGACATGAGGTTAAACATTTCCTGTTCTTCATTCACCCTTGTCCTTTTGCACCCTGCAGTTGCCCTCGCACTTACTCTGTTCAGTTCTATGAGGCTTCATGTTGAACTCAAACCAATTGAGGAACTTGACTGGGAAAAAATAAACTTGCAAAAGAGAGGTTATTTTAATGCAAATCAACTCCTTAATTTGACAGAAAATTAAGGCAATAAAGAAAAGGAGTTACTACCTCTCAAAATTCAAATTCTTAGAGACCCTTTGGTGCGTAAATATGAAGCACACTGTCGAATGACAGCCAATGCTCTGCAGTTATCATTGAGGGAATTTACATCAATTATGTTAGGAAAAATGGAAAAAAGTTGTTTTGTTAAAGTAGTTACTTCTATTACTCTGACCTTTTTTTCCCCTGGACTTGTATTCCTTAGCCCAGAGTTCTTGATCCTTTATGAACTTTTTGTCCCACTCCATCATATCCCACTTCTTTTCTTTCAAGAGCATTCATAGGTCCCAGCCTATACAGCTGTGTACAACATTCCAAGGTTGACCACACCCCTGGATTTTAGGTGTTACCCTTGTCTTGGTGATAGTCTCATGCCTGTCTTCTGGCATGATCTCCCCAGTACAGTACATACAGGTCAGTCCTTGATCAGCAGGACATCCCACCAGGTTACCAGGCAAATCCATGGGGCATTAGTGATTGTGCTCAGCAATCAGAGCTTTCAGGCCATAGCACTGGTGACCACCACCTTTCTGGGGTTCCTCTCCCCTGTCTCTAAACACAGTCCAACAGCCCAGCAACTACAGTTGATTAACCTCTTCTTCCCTGGTCCCTCTGCAAGGGTTCTTCATTTGCAACACTGTCAGGATCCAGCCATTGCTCAACGTATCCCTGCATCAGCCAACCCCAAAACATTCTTCCCTTGGTCAGGGCAGTGCCTACAAGAAGCACAGGTCTGGTTTCCACCAGCATAGGGCAGGCCATGGTTGCCTCCAAGACAGGGCACTCTGCATCCCCCCACTATTGAAACCTTGTCATTTGTGCCCAATTCCATTAGTAAGAAATGTTCTGGAACAACATGAGACAATGACCAACAATGTTTTTAGTGCCTGTCAAGAAGGAGGTAACTAATAGTAGGAGGTGAATTCCAGCAGGGACAAGTGCAGTCCCTGCAGGAGCCCCTCATGATCAGTAGTGATAGATTGGTTCAGCTGGTCAGTGTTTCAATCAAAATTGTCAGATAAAATCTTTGAGGGTCCTTGCTGAGACATTAGGCCTGTCTTGCATTTCACAGAAAGCATTTGTAGGGAGTGTGAAGGGGTCACACTTAATTTCACTGAACTGTGATAAAATATTGGCAAATAAACCACTCCCTTTTCTAAACTGTGCCTGTTTAAATCATAATTTATTCAGTAAACACATATTTTAAATGAGTTTCCTGGACTATAGAGAGTAACACTGAGCACATCATTTAAATAGGGTTTGTAAATTCATCATTAGCACATTTTACTCTCGTCTCCCACATTTCTACCAATGCTTTATGGAAGGACTTGAGCTAAGGACAAAAGAGGTAGGTCACCAGAAGTCCCATGTCATGAACTCGGTCATATCCTAACCAGCCCCTGCACACTGTGCCTGGACCACAGTAATCTTTGTTTTTGGTTCTCAAGCACTACAGTGCTTAATTAAAACTAAGTATACAAAATGTGACCACCATTTTTCAGTAATTCTGCATCTAACAGCCAAATATCTATAAACATATGGAGCACTGACACTTATCAACCAACAAGTCCAGTAATCAGAGTATGAATGAGAACTCCATCCTTTCAGGATTTATAAATGTGGCCCCTTTTTACTGCCAAGTTGCCAGCTGAATCAGACAAATGTCTTAATTAAAAATAATCTGAAAAGCTTCCAAACAAACCATAATATAAATAGTGGTATTTTAAAGACCTGGAAAAGGACAAACAGCATTTCTGTTACCCAGTCCAAAGAATTATATATACAGATATGGGAAGCCAGTCCTGTATTTGAATAATATCTCAGCATTCATTATCTCAGAGCACAACAAAAACCACTGCAGACCTATTAAAAGCAAGATGCCTTACAAAGATCCAACCATTTATCTCTTCTGTGACTTTCTTGCAGAAAGAGATTGTAACACAGAGAAACATATAAGTGATTCCCATGAGAAGGTGAAAAAAACTCGCTTCTTGCAAACACTGATCCTTGCTTCTGCAGCTTCCTCAGTGCAAACTAGAACTGCAGACTAAATATTTGCTGTGAAAGTCATAATATTTGGGAAAAAATATGGTGTATGTGGGAGGAAACACCACTGAATTCCACCCAATTGCTTTACAGGAGAGGGCATAAAACGTTGAGGGACACACCAGAGGACTAGTAACTTAACACCGAGTAAAACGAGACCCACAGGGTACATCCGTCTTTTAGGAGACAATGGCTATTAATACCTAAAGATAAAAAAAAGAAAGTAATCATCAAGTTCCTCAAAGAATCAAAAAAGACTTGCTGCAGCTTGGTTCTACTGAAAAAAAAAAGACTGGTAAGTGTTCTCTTAGTCAAGCTGTTGGCTACAATGTCTGCTGTTGCTTTATCCCCTCTGTTTCACCCACATAAAATTGGTCCACACAGTCCCCAGCAATTTAGTCTGTGAAATGCTTTGCAGGACATCTACAAGAAAGCAACCCAGAGAATTGTAAGCCTTTTCAAAGCCACACTTTTTAGGACAGTAGGAAAAGCAGAGCCAGATTTTCTTATTGTGTCTTGTGCAGCAGTGATCTAGATGTAGCAATCTCATTCATCTTTTTCTTTTTCTCTGCACAGATATGATTTCCACCACAACTGAAAATGTTACCCAATTTTACAACATCATGGACACACAGGAGCTCACAGTCAGCCCAACAATTTTCCACAATAATTCAGGAGTGCATCAGCTGAATCAATATGAATGTATTAATTCAGATATATGGAACTGGCTACAGGATTTTCAGCCTGGATTCCTCTGGTTTATATTTATTCTGGGAGCAATAGAAAATTCCTTTGTCCTTATAGTCCTGTGTTTCCACAAGAGTCGCTGCACAGTGGCCGAGATCTACCTAGCAAACATGGCACTTGCTGACCTAATGTTAGTGTGTGCTTTACCTTTCTGGGCCATTAACATTTCTAATAAGTTTAACTGGCCCTTTGGCCTGTTCCTCTGTAAAGCTGTCAACATAATGAGTTACATGAACTTCTATTCTAGCATTTACTTCCTGACGCTAGTGAGCATTGACCGCTACCTGGCCTTGGTGAAAACCATGTCTCTTGGACGGATGCGGCGAACTGTCTGTGCCAAATGGAATAGCTTTGTAGTCTGGACGTGTGCATTGCTCATATGTTCGCCTACAATGGTGTTTCGAAATCTACAGTATTACAAAGAATACAACATCACAGCCTGTGGCCTGGTTTACCCAGCCAGGTACTGGGAGCCTGTGAACAACTGCTTGCTGAATATTGTGGGCTTCGTGATCCCACTCTGTGTAATTACTTATTGCACTACACAAATCATCAAAGCCTTACGAAGCAATGAGCTACGAAAACTGAAGTTAGTCCAGACAGAGAGGAGAGCCACCATGCTGGTCCTTGCCGTGCTCTTGCTGTTCATCATTTGCTGGCTTCCATTCCAGATCAGCACGTTCATTGACACAATCCGTTACCTAGCACCCACTTTCAAATGCTTGGAAGAAGTCAATGACATAATCACCCAGGTAGGTACGTACTGTGCCTTTAGCAACAGCTGTTTGAACCCAGTCCTGTATGTAATTGTCGGGAAGCACTTCCAGAAGAAGGCCATGGAATTCTGCAAGGACTTACTCCCAAAGGGATGCAGAAAATCACAGTCTGTGCAGATGGAAAACTCCATGGACACTTTAAGAACTTCCATTTCGAGTGAATACCCAAGGAAAAAGTCTGTTTTTCCATTACCACGATAGCACAATTTGTTCATTACAGGAAAAGAAGCATTCTAATGTATCACTCTCCACTAATATCCATCTGCTACTGGTCCACAGAATAAAGATGTAGTAGCATTCATCATCTGTGGGAAACCAATGGTTTGATCTTAATGGAAATTCCATAGAGAGACCTGCTGCTAATCTTAATGGATATTTTTAATAGTTGAATCCTATGTTGTAGCATACTCTATACTTTCATGGCTGAATAATAATTGATGTGTGTATCATTTGAAATGTTGGCATTTCTAAGGTGTACATACAGGTTTTTCAATAGAGTCCCAGCACAGAAGCTGTTGTCAGCATTGTGTAACTACCTATGGTACCCATAGAGTTTGTTAGACAAGATTTCTGATAGGAAAGCCTTGTATTTGAGTAAATTCTGGTAAATTAGTATCATAGGACTATTATTCAAATAGATTTTTAGATGTGGCCACCTTCTGGGCTTTCACTTTATCTGGTCAGTCATCCAAAACTATTTTGATTCTTTGATTGACAAGCTGTGACTTTTTGCAACTTCTCTGCCCCTGCTAGTTATAGGTTTACATCAGCTCTATGTATGGAAAGTAGTTGAAAAAAGGTAAAGTGGTAGCAGAGAGAAGGCTGCAGCCAGCTTCATGAAGTTAGCTGAGTTTTCTTTGTAGCAGGAGATTCTTCACACCTTCTCCGTTGGAGTAAAAGCATTCAATTACTTACTCCTTTTGATTACTATACCTACACTTCAGCTCAGAGACTTGTTTTTTAATAGTCAGAAAGTATAATTAATATTTTTAATGTTATTTAATGGAAACATAAAAGCTCAGCACAATTGGTATAATCTCACAAGTAGAAGAAACTGAAAATATGAAGGAGAGCATCACCTGACTGCCTTAGAAATTTAACTGAAGCTAGTAAGAGTCTTGAAAGAGTCTCCTAAGAATATTCAAGAATAGCCTTTTCAGGCTCTAATAATACCTACATTTTACTTGTGGAGTTACTTTAAGTAATTTTAATACCAGATAGCTTTTCCCCAATTGGACTAGATTTATGATTGAAATTGAGTTTACAGAGAAAACAAACTCATAGCATATTAAATTGTCAGTATGTGCTTTTATTTCTAGGAACCTTGATCAAAAACTGAATAGGAGATGATCTAAAATCATCTGAAACTAACACAGCCTTTGTTCCTTTCAAAGCACTTAAGATTATAGCCTTAAAACCACCAAGGGAAATGGAGTTCGGTGGCATAAGCAAATTCAGTTTGCTACCGCATGGTCTTTATTTATCAGAGCTTGAATAGAACAATTAAGTTCCATTTAAGATGGGAAATTTGTACTAAACCTTCAAATAATTAAACCCAAAATGCTCTAGAAGTGTGTGGATGTGCTATAAAAATGATGTGATTGAAATCACTGTAGATCATTTATACACAAATTCCATAGGTTTTCTTTAATAATCCAGTATAATCTTATGTCGTAAATACTTCTATTGTTCATTGTTTAAACTGCCAAGACACCTTCGATGAAACACTGCAAAGCTTTCTGTTATCTCCAGTGTTATCAATACTGTCTTGTTGATGAGCATGCTGTTCACACAACCACTAAATAAAAGAAACTCCATACAGAGAATATTGAGGCATTGGAAGAGATTCTTGAGTATTTGGTACTGAGAAGTAAAATATTAAAATGTTATTATATTAATATGACATTAATTTAAATCATGTAAATATATAGGCACATTATTTTGCTACGCAGTAGTCATGTAGAACAGAAAATAAAGTACTTCAAGAAATGAGATTTGCTGGTGTTTTCTTCTGAGGCTCGTACCCTGTTACTCAGAAACGACTTGTCAGAAGTGCAACTGTTGCAGGTACTTTCTTTAACTTCCCATTGTACCAAAGGAAAATGAGATTAAACCACAGAATTTTAGCTGCTTTCAAAGCTCTCTTTTCTGGGCCCATTTCTGAGCAGTGCTGACCACCCTCAGTCCCTTTGGAAGTTAAAATCTGAATTAAGGGAGCTAAAGATGCTGAAATCTTTTCAGTGGCTTTTCTCTGTCCACTGGTAGCTCAAGGTCCCATTAAACAGCAGATATTACTTTCCTCTATGAGAACCTGGGGCACCCAAGAGCCTTTAGGTGCTGTTTGCAGGATGGACCCTCTGCCTAAAGCCTTTACTCTCCGCTCAAAGCACAGACACCAGCAGCAGTGGAAAGCCCCTGCATGCTGCAGAATGCGCAGCCTCGGCTCGCAGGCTGTGTAACCCACGCTCTCGCTCGCCTTCCAGCGCGATCACACGTTGTGCAGCACTGGCATGTACCGCTTACACAGGCACCAAAAAACCACCAGGAACTAAAGTGGAATGTCCAACGCTTTACCTACAGGCAGTTTACAGTCACACTCAGCCTTGTCTCTGCCTTGTTCTCACAGAAACAGGAAAATTATGAGAAGGGTTCTTGGTAAAACAGGAACAGGCTTTGCCCTGAGGATCTCAGAGCTGCAGATGTCACACTGTAATCACATCACCTTTTTATTCCTCTTTATCCTGTCCCACTTCTTCCCTTTTCCCTGAGGCTGCCACATCTTTTACTGACACTTGGCCACGCAAACGGCTGATTCAGTCCAATGGGGGCGGCTAGGGACCATTGCCAGAGCAACAGCAGGATATCAACCGTCCATTGGTATTTCTGGCCTGCAGCAGGTACGGGCAGGAATAATTCCCATCTTTTCACTGTCTGGTTTTTCAGGTTGATTATAGGCTTCACTTGAAATGCAAAATTAACGATCTTAAAAGCTGTTAGCACCAACAGCTGGTGCTTGTTGAGGACAGGACAAGGTTGCTCCTCTTCAGGCAGGGTTTCTGTGAAGTCAGGAACTTGGTTCAGGGTTCCCCAACCCCCAGGTAGTTTTTTAGCCTTTGGATCACCTTTCCCTCTCTTCCATCAGCCCACTGTGGGGTTCCAAACCATACCGGCTCCTTCCATGTTTTGCTACTTCAGCCTCCATAAACAGTTAGTAAGGCTTGATTATTATTGCACTGTGGTACTACTAGGATTGTTTACTAGGAACTGTAAGTCACTGCACCAGAGTTTAAGCCTTCCTTAGCAACCACTGTCTACAGCTTATGTAAAGAAATCCAAACAAGATGAACAAGGAGGTTTACGTCACAAAGGTTGTATCAAAAAACTTTTCTCCTGTTCCAGAACAGTTATAGCAGACAGCTATGTTGATTTTCAAACCATTTCCATAAATAAAATCAAACTGCTAAATCATATTGCCCCAAAAAGATAATGTGTTCAGATTATGAGAAGGCTCCAGTTATGTTAAGAGGAAGATTTTTGATGGCTGAATTGTTGGACCGAGAGATGGAACTCTGGAGACCTTTTGGATTTCTGCCATTCTTCTACCATGTAATGTGTGCAATAATTAAGCAAACAGTCTTACTTCTGCCTTCATCAACATATTTGTTTAATCTTTCTGATTCAGAGAGGCTCAGCTAACATTTTAAAATCCTATACAGCTCTAGAGAATGAGTACTTTTTGCAGGAAAGTCAACAGAGACAGGGTGTCCGAAGATCATATAAGCTTAAAACACAAACTAATGTGCTGTGAGTATCCCAGCTTGAAGGCACCAGTAGACAGATATGTTTTAATTATGTATACACAGCAAAAACCTTTTAACTATTGACTCTAATACAGATGTTTTTAAACTTAATCCTTCACATTCCTTTGATTTGTGGTCCATTAAATCTGTGTAAAATTTAAAATGCTACCAAAGCATTATATGCTCTCTACACATTGAAATGCTGCAAGTTGCAAAGAAATAATAAATTTAATTCCCTTTTTGTATAAAGTTACAGCTTCTTATGTGGACTTGTTCTAAGATGTTTAAGAGCGGAAGCTACAGCAGTGCCTATTCATTTCACCTTTTCTACCAAATGTATAGACTCCCAATTTTGAATATCTTACCACTTCTGAAATCATTTATAAAGATGGCAGTGCAAAACAACAGGAAAGAAGCAAATAGATTTACAAAGGGAGGTGGATTTCCAAACCAATATTTTGATCCCGTTATGATGAGTTTCGTAACACTATGTTATTTCTCATTTCAATTTTAGATGCAGCTGCAGTTTTTTCTACGAGTCTGTGAGTAAATGTGGATGTTGGCGGCTCCTAGAAATTCATGTCCAAGCAAGGAAAAATTCCAGATTTCTTGCTATTGCTCAAAAGTTCTTCTTTATGGAAAAAATAATTTAAACACAGAAATGCACTAGCATAAGCAAAGAGGAAGTTGTGGAAAGTCTGTGACGAAGATCTCCTCTTCTATTGCACTTACCTTAATGAGTCAGCGTGGGCTGTGTTGTTTAGAGACTGATCTCCTGTAGGTTATTAGGATCCCTTCGTAACATGCAATTCAAAAAATGTGTTTCAGGCCTTCACTGAAAGAAGGGTTTTCATCCAGCTATTTAAAAAAATCATTTTGACTGAAGTGAACCATATAGCTTCATTTGAGATGTATTTTTTATACTGGGGGTTGGTTTGTTTATTTATTTATCTATTTGAAAAGTAAATGTTTAAATAGGATGCTGTTTAAACAAAAGGAGAATTTATACATTTTATATCTTCAAATTAAATGTTGGTTTCTTTAGATTTTCGTTCAGTGTGATGGTGTTAACCAGAACAATTGGTTATATTTGTCATTTTTACCACTGTTTGCATAACTCTAACTTAGTATCTTTTTAATGAATAAAAAGTTGGAATTAAAGTATGTAGCATGATGTAGGGAGGTTTATAGTGACATACTACCATGCAGCCTCGCCTGGCTTTTCATTTTAATTTACCTATCAAGCGAGAATGGACATATTTGAATGAGAAGTCAGACTGACAGAGCATGTGTTGGTAGGTGGAAGAAGAATGTTTTCATAGAATTAAATAACATTCCAGTCCCTTGATAATTTCTCTCTTTTTTTTTTTTTTTTAATAAATTGAAAAACCCTACTGTTTG